TGGGGATGAAACAGGAAGAATGCAAACCAGGAAGGAAGGGAGGGGGGGAGGGAGGGAGGGAGGGAGGGAGGGAGGGAGGAAGGAAGGAAGGAAGGAAGGAAGGAAGGAAGGAAGGAAGGAAGGAAGGAAGGAAGGAGAAAAGAAAGCCATCTTCGCTGACCACATCTACAGAGCTGACTAGTGCAGAGACTGAGGCAGGAAGATCCCCTGAACCCAACAGTCTAAGACCAGCCTGGACAACACAGGCTGCCAGCTGACTTCACACAGGAAACGGAAAGTAAGCGATACCTGGCAGTGATAACAAACGCACAGTTTCCTAAAGCAATGGCATCAGGGCGCGCGCACACACACACACACAGTCGTTCTCATGGGAAAAGCATGGCCGCTGAACCTAGCGGCCGAGCAGACACTTCGGTGTGCTGACAGGCACCACAGTTAGCCATCTGTCTGTCTGGGTTTCTTGGGGACGTGACACTGTCAACTCTGGTGTGTGCAGAAAGGAAGCGGAAGAGCTTGACCCATCATCTCCCGATGCCATCCTTCAACCGTGTTCTTTACAAAAAGCCAGCTCCGAAGAGGCTGACGGAGGCTTAAACATGGCGTTTTCATTTCTCTGTGAACATCAAGAGAGTGTCAGGGCAGACAGAGAACACTTCTCACATCTGCTCTAGACAATCTGCCACTGGCCTTCTAACCTCGTGGCGCCACAACCTCTCTGAGCCTCCATTTCGGATCTGCCTGTCTTCACTGGCTGGTAGGATGGGTGGAGGGGGTGGGGGGTGTAAGACTGCTGCACAGGTACAGACACTTGACTATTAGTTCAGCACCAGGGTGACTCGGCAGCATAGAGATTGCCTAGCACATACGAGGTCCTGGGTTCAATCTCCCAAAAACTCATCAGTCAGTGAATTCCACATTGAAACAGCTGAGAAGGGCATGTCACTTGGGATGCTCAAGGGGGCAGGCGCTAAGGACGGCTGATGAGAACAAGGAAGAGGAACACAGCAGGAGAACGATGAGGAAGCAGCACTCCGGCGACTGGGGTGACCCAAAGGCACACAGTGAAGGGGGACAGAAGTCCTTCAGGATGAGATAAGTCCTTCAGGATGAGAAGAGCTCTGGCCCGGCTCTGGTATGGAGCAGCACAAGTTGGTGGGATGCTTGGCGCTGCGCCAACCTGAGGGGTACCCACCTCCTCCATCAACAGCACGGCACCTTCAGGGAAGCGCAGCTCCTTCACACGCTCCCCAACTTCCTGCTGAGTCCTCAAGTTCCTCTCCAAGGCAAATGAGGTTTGCTGAGGCTGGGTGAGCTGAAGCAAAAGCCTGAAAAGCCAGAAAGTCTCAGTGTGAGAGGCTCCACCACAGGGCAGCAGAGAGCACGCAGGAGCTCCCACAGAGCCAGGCCCTCAGCAGCCAGGCCCTCAGCAGCCGGGAGTCCTGCCCTCCCGAATAAGCTGCCTCCCTTCACATCTTCTTCTAAAAGAAAGGACCAGGACTCAGGGGTTCAGGCAGCTCTCGAGGGTAGCAAAGGTTGCATGGAGTCTTTGTCTAAAAACAATAAGACAGGTGGGCAGGCTGTTGAAAGCAAAAACAATTCACTGAGAAAAGCTTTCAGTCAGCCCCAGCCACAGAGTGTCCTGGGTCTGTTCCTGGTTGCCGGCATCTGCTGACTCCACAGAGACTGGACCCCAAGGACCACTCACCTTTGCTGGCACACGTGAGTACCAAACCCGGGCCAGACCTCTGACGACCGCTTCACAGCTGCCTTACCATGAACGTGCCCAGTGATCCTACCCTGGTCTCTTGAGTCACTCACCCGTCTTCGGAGCTCACCTCCCCTTTCCTAATGAGGAGCTCGGGCGGGATGTCCCACAGGCACCTGGGTTTCCGTACATCAAGCTGACATCATTCTTCCTTGGACCCTGATCTGTCCTTCCCATCCTTTTGCATGCTCCATCTCAGCAAAAAGCACCCAAGCCACGTCTGCACCCAGGGCACTCCTCGGAGCCTCCTTCTCCTCACTCCCGTCCCGCCCACCTCTGCACCCAGGGCACTCCTCGGAGTCTCCTTCTCCTCACTCCCGTCCCACCCATACACCCAGCCGAGTCCCATCTGTTCCGTAATGACACTGTTTTCTACTTCTATTACTACTGCACTACTCTAGGTCAGATCCTATCACTGATGATCACTGCCTCGCCACTGCTGTCCAAAGTTCCAAATGACCTCGTCTGCTAACCCACCCACCCACGCCACCCCCCGCCACGCACACACACCTGAATCACAGCTCTGATCACACTCCAATTCAAGCCTCTGAATACTCTCTAGGCCTTCAAGGAAAGGACCAGTTCTGTATGGCACCTAAGCCAGGGGTGGCAGCCCACGGCTCCAGTCCTAGCACCGGAAAGGCTGAAGATCACGGTGGCATACAAGTTCCAGGCAAACCGTGGCTACACAGTGAGCACTGCCTCAAAATCAGCCAATAAGCAAAGAGGGTAAAGTCTTAAGCTAATGAAAAACCCAAACACAATGAAAGTGCTCAACAGCTCAGCATTTCCCAGCTGCTTACAGCAGCCCTTGCATGCAGTAGGCGCGTTAGAGAACTTGCACTCCACACCCTCAGGCAGCAGGCATGTCCCCATTCCTCCATCTGTCCGGATGAGGAGTCTCGAGCCCGGAGTCTATGGAATCTGTGCAAGGCCACACAGCTGGCCAGCAAACCGTCCAGGCTCACGTGGTCGACAGCAGGCAAAGTCCTGAACCAGGTCTGACTCTGAGTCCAGCCTCCTCCTCCCCTTGCCCCGGTATTGTGGTTTCCAGGCCTCCTTGAGCTTCTCCACATTGCTGCTCTAGCTACCCGCAGCAGTCTGCATGAATGCTACAGGTTCGCAGGGAGTGGCACTATTTGAAAGGATTAGGACTTGGGGTCTTGTCGGAGTAGATGTGGCTTTACTGGAGGAAGTGTGTCACTGGGGGGGGTGGGCTCTGAGGTTTTAGAAATCTAAGCCAGGCCCAGTGTCTCTCTCTCTCTTTTCCTCCTGCCTGCCCAAGATGAAGAACTCTGAGCCACCTCTCCAGCACCCTGTTTGCCTGTGTGCTACTATGATGATAATGGACTAAACCTCTGAACCTGTAAGGCACTCCAGTTAAATGTTTTTCTTATGAAGGTTGCCATGGTCATGGTATCTCTTGACAGCAATAGGAACCCAAAGACGGCTCCAGATTGTGTAACTGCTCCTCTATGCCTTCTAGCCGAGCTTTCTTTCTCTATCTCACCAAACATAAGAACACACCTTCCTCACCTGAGGAACAGTACACGGGTGAGCAAGACAACACAAAGAACTAAGCCCTGCGTAGACACAGGGCTTTGGGGCTATAAAATGACCCCAATATGCAGCCCAGAAAACCATGAGGAGTAACATGAAAGGATTTGTACAGAGCACCCAGTACTTGGTGGCCAGCAGCTGCTAAGCACTCCTCCCGAGGAGCATCCAGAGGTGCCCAGGCCTGGAAAAGGCTGGTTCTCCCCTCTGGTTGGTCTCCATGGTATTCCGCTCACACCAGGACACAGCCCTCAGCAGCGGTGTGCCAGTCACTGGCTCCATGTATATTGTCCTCAGCGCGGTGACTGTCGCAAGGAAAGAGCCTCTTGGTTTGGTTTGGTTTTGGTTTTTTTTTTTTTTTTTTTAACTATCTTTATGATGTGCCTGGCACACATGCTTTGGGATGCAAGTGACAGAGTCACTGGGCATGGAGGCACACGCCTTTGCTCTTAGCCCTTAGGCGGCAGAGGCAAGTGCGTCTCTATGAGTCTGAGGCCAGCCTGGTCTACCCTGTGAGTTCCAGGCCAGCCACGGCTACAGGAGTGAGAACTGTGCACAAAACCAACCTACCAACCACAACATAAAAAAGTGACGCGGTCAGGGATAACTGGGCATCTGCTAATCTCTTTTTAATTCTTAGTAAATTTCAATAGATTCTCCAGAATTATTATATGAAAACAGAACCTCCGTTCCCACCAGTTTGTTTCTTCACTGACCAGTCACAGAACTGGTCAAAGGCATTCCTCCTTCCCGCTTCCCCCAAATCCACATATTTTAAGGATCCAAAGTGCTTGGAGTCCCCGGAAGCCAGCACGGGAGGCTCTGCCGCATGAACTAAGCACTAAGCACTATGTACTGTGCACCAAGCACTGGGTGCTCACTAGTAGCACTGAGTACAAGAGCAGGAGGCTCTCTTCAGATTTCTGCCAGACACAAACAAGAAAGCCATTTCTGTAGAAATGACACTTTTCCTTTTAAATGTATATACATTTTAATTGCTCATCATAGACTTTTTGTTGGTTCCAATCTTAACACTCTATCTTGAGTAATAACAAGAGCTGTCTTTTTTTATTTGCATTTTTTTTTTTTCCAAACAGGGTAATGACCACTGGGCAGTTTCTGCCTCCTGCACCATCTCCCCAAACTCCTGGGGTGGGCATTTGCTGTTTTCACTGAGCTGACTCCTACAGATGGCCCCACATCCTCCTCACATCACATGGGACTGTGAGTTTCTGATCTTTTCTTTTCTTTTCCAAGACAGGGTTCCTCTGTGTAGCTTTGTGCCTTTCCTGGAACTCACTCTGTAGCCCAGGCTGGCCTCAAACTCACAGAGATCCACCTGCCTCTGCCTCCCAAGTGCTGGGATTAAAGGCGTGCGCTGCCACCACCATCCAGCTTGGGTTTCTGATCTACAGGTGCAAGGGAATGTTTATTCAGAGAATGCCGCCTGAGTTCCTCAGAGGCCTGACCCATTCTCCTTCACGCCCCCAACTATGAGACTTTGTCTTGTTCATTTGAGTCAGAGTCTCACTACATAGTTCAGGCTGGCTTTGAACTCATGATCCTTCTGGCTCAGGCTCCCAAGTGCTGGAATTCCAGGTCTTGGAATACCAATAGCAATATGAAATGTTTTATTTTTTTGTGTCCCGTTGTGGTTTATATTCATTTCCCAGATGGCTGGGCTTTCTTGTACTAACAGACATCGGGAACCATCTTGTCCACTTCTTAGTCACTGTGAATAGTGATAACCACAGTGATAACCATGGGTGCACAAGTATCTTTGGGGCATGTTAGCTCAGAGTGCTTCAGGTATACGGCACAGCTGGGTCATACGGTACTCTTATTTTTGGCTTTTCTTTTGGGGTGGGTTTTTTGTTTATTTGTTTGAGACAGCGTCTCTCTACATAGCTCTGACTGCCCTGAAACTCTCTATGTAGACCAGGCTGACCTCAAATTCACAGAGATCTTCCTGCTTCTGCTTCCCAGGTGCTGGGATTAAAGGCTTGCATTCCAGGCCCTAGCTTAGTTTCACTCATTTTATTTCTGGATTCCTATATCTAAGTGGCTGTACTAGTCTATATTCCTACCAGCCTTGTATGGGATTCCTCATTCCCTGCATACCATGGATGCTAACTTTAAAAATTAACTTAAAGAAACAAATCTTTCCTCCTTAAAACGAAGAAGCAGCCTTTCTCCAAGCTCACCCCGGGTGCTGACATGCCCTCTTGGCTTACCTGGTGCGAACCAGAGAGGCACATGCCTTCATCCGAGCCTCCAGCCCTGGGGCTTCTCTCCATTCTGCTAGACAGTTCTGCATCTTCTGTGGAGCCTCCTCAGCCTTCTGGATGTTACAACCACTTGCCTCCATGGAAAGCACTGCACTCTCAGGCAAGGTTGCTGGGAAATACAGAAGGCGGCCTGTGCCAGAGTGCACACCTGAGGAACTGACAGCTTGGTTTCTTGAGGTGACACTCGTCTGTCCCCGAGATGACGTACACAGGCCTGGCCCTGGACTCAGGTATGCCTCTGCCAATTTCCACCAGCTCCAAGGGTTCAGAGGATGAAGGGAAATCAGTTTTTGCAAGCACAGAATTGTCTTCTCCAAGCTCTGAAAACTTGAAAAAATAGCCAAGTAGAGGTAGAGCACCGTGGTTAGATGGTCCGTGTTGGTTGCTTTATTCTCCTGAGGAGAAGGAACAAAAGAATCTTAGCTACAAAATGTTTTCATATAAAAATGGAAGCACCTAAAAGCCCAAGTTGTGTATGTTATAAACCAGAAGTATTTTTAGGTGCTATATGGATCAAGTGAACTTAATATTTCCACAGCTTTTGTGTTTCAAACCATAACCTAGGGCCAGTGAAAGCTGTGGCTGGATGGAGCATGCGCACACTCACACACACACACACACACACACACACACACACACACACACACACACAAATATGAAACCAAAAACCTAGAAAATGATTCAGCAAATGGTCCTCAGCAACTCTTAGACACCTTTGTTAGGGTTTCTATTGCTGTGAAGAGATACTATGACCATGGGAACTCTTATAAAGGAAAACATTTAATTAGGGCTGCCTTACAGTTCAGAGGTTTAGTCCATTGTCCTCATGGTGGGTGGCATGGCGGCATGCAGGCAGACATGGTGCTGGAGAAGGAGCTGAGAGTTCTATATCTTGATCCACAGGCAACAGAAGGAACTTCTGTGTCACACTGAGCATAGCTTGAGCATAGGAGACCTCAGAGCCCGCCCCCACAGTGACACACTTCCTCCAACAAGGCCACACCTCCTAATAGTGCCACTCCCTCTGGGGGCCATTTTCTTTCAAACCACCACAACACCCCAATGCCATAATGCAGCAGCTCATGTATAAGTGGCCTGACAAAATTCAACACCAAAAACATAATGCCATGGATTGTTCAACTTTACCACAGTCCTGTTATGGTCATCTGGTGTCATGCTGGCGAGGCGTGAACCTGTAATGCCCAGTCTCAACTAACAACCTGATGGTCTGAGAAGCACCCAGGGGAGCATCTAAGAACAGTTCTAGAACATACTAGTTAAATAGGGTAGACCCCATAAGCTGGCTTCCTAGACAGAATAACAAGGAGAAAGAGAGAGCCTGCCAGTGCCTCTGCCCCACATCACCCTGCTGCCAGGAGAGGCTGCTGTCTCAGTTACACCCTCCATCATGTCACACCACCTCACTGCAGCCCAGAAACACAAGCCCAGTGACCCCGGAGTGTGGACTCTGAAGCAACGAGCACATCTCTCCCCGGGTCCTGTCTGTCACCGTGGTGAGGTCTGTGTGCATTTTCTTATTAGGTGCTGACCTAATGGTTTCTTTTTAATATTTCAGAGTTACTAAACCCCGAGGTGATTTCCTTGAGGATTTGCAGGAATCCCATCTGCATCTTTGACTTGGCTTAGATTCTTACTCAGGACAAGCCTGAAGCTCTCAGCTTGGTACTGCACCCAAATGCCTTCCCTGCTGTCCCTGGCCACAGGAGGTTGCTCTGTGTCCTTCTGATCAGAAAACCCTTTTGAAGTCTCCTTAAGAGCCACCATCTCTCACCTAACCTGCCATATGGCAGATGCCCTGTGGGTTAGAGAAAAGGGTCCACTTTTTCCAAATTAGTCTGCAGAGAGCAGATGGCAGAGTGAAATTACCTTCAACCCGATGTGAAATCTAAGGGAAGCCCAGCCTGTCTAGGTCACATGCCTGCACAGAACAAAACCGAGTGTCAAACAGAGGCCAAACTACCCAGGATGCAGCCTGCAGGAACCAGTAAACCACCCAGGATGCAGTGTACAGGAACCAGTAAATCACCCAGGGTGCAGTCTACAGGACCAGTAAACCACCCAGGATGCAGTGTACAGGAACCAGTAAACCACCCAGGGTGCAGTCTACAGGACCAGTAAACCACCCAGGATGCAGTATACAGGAACCAGTAAACCACCCAGGATGCAGTGTACAGGAACCAGTAAACCACCCAGGATGCAGCCTGCAGGAACCAGTAAACCACCCAGGAAGCAGTGTACAGGAACCAGTAAATCACCCAGGATGCAGTGTACAGGAACCAGTAAACCACCCAGGATGCAGTGTACAGGAACCAGTACAGCAGGCAGTGAAAGCCTGCTGAGTTCTTGGAGCATTCCCATGCCGAGAGGAAAAACATGAAACAGACACACATAACTTATTTGGTGACACTGTATCTACCCAAGCACTGGGCACGCCTTGCTTTAACTGTTTCTATTGCTTACGGCAATAATAAGAGCCCTGGGTTCGATTCTGAATTGTAGTACACAGACAAAGCACAGTGCCCTGTGTATCGCAGATGTGACCTAACTGCTGAACAATGAATTGTCTAAAGCCAGGCTGTGCCTTTCTGAGCTGGCTCAGTGTGTAAAGGTGCTTGCTGCCAAGCCTGAGGACCTGGGTTCAAGCCCTGGAAACCACACGGTGGAAGGAGACTAACTCCCACCGATTGTCTTTGGACCTCCACACAGGCTGTGGCGTATGAACCCCCACTACCTCTAAGTAAATAGACAACATGTTAAAAACAGTATTTTAATTATGCCTTTTTTTTTTCTAATAAGAACATGTCTAGATTATCTCTAGCAAATGCTCCACTTCTGCTATGATCTATAATGCATTCTACTACTCAAAAACACGTTCCCACTGGGAAGGCAGGTATATGTCAGTGTGAAGTAGGTGCCACACACAGACCGTGATCCCTCCCTGACTCCTGCTTTTTTTTAAAAAACAGGGTACGCGTATATACCCATATATATATACAGACTAGACTGACTGGTCTTGAACTTGTGATGCTCTTACCGCAGCCTCCCGAGTGCTGGAATTACAGGCATGCACCGGTATGCTGGGCTCTAGACTATGGTCCTGATAATATGATTAATAAGGTGAGTTTACTGGTGTGGTAGTTTGAATGTAATTGGCCCCCATAATCCCAAAGGGAGTGGCACTAGGCACTATCAGGAAGTGTGGCCTTGTTGGAGGAAGTGTGTCACTGCAGAAGTGGGCTTTGAGGTCTCTTTTGCTCAAGCTTTGCTCAGTGTGACAATCAGACTACCTCCTGTTGCCTGCAAAATGCAGGACTCTCAGCTACTTCTCCAGCATCATGTCTGCCTGCACGCTGCCATGCTCCCAGCCATGATAATACTGGACTGACCCTCTGAACTGTAAGTGAACCACCCAATGAAATGTTTTCCTTTACAAGAGTTGCCATGGTCATGGTGTCTCTTCACAGCAATAGAAACCCTAACTAAGATGACTGGTACGCTAAATTAATAAAGGAGGGTTTGATGGCATGGTTGGTATGCCCCTCTTTGGACCTTAAATTCCATTTAAATGTGTTTCAGGGATTTTCCCAGGGCTGCAATAATAAAACAATGGGACTAGAGATGATTCGGTGGTTAAGAGCACAGTTTGCTCTTGCAAAGGACCTAGGTTTGGTTCCCAGCACCCACACTGGGTAGCTCACAGCCAGTTGTTCTCCAGCTCCAGGGGATCCAATGTCTCTAGGCTCCTGGGCACCTGCACTCCACGTCCATACCTACACTTGGATGCCAACACACACACACATACACATACACACACACACACACACACACACACACATACATAATTAAAATTTAAAATATATCATTGAAAAATCCAAAAAATAATCACTCATCATCCTACCACTCTGAGTATATATTCCTCATAAAAATAAAACTTCTGAAAATGAGATTTCTAAGCGCTAATTCTCATCTTAGCACAGGAAAAATATTCCAAGAAAATAATCACATCTGGTGCACCGAGCTTCAGCTCAATAACTGCACCGCTGATAGTTTCCCGCCGTAATCCCAGCCCACCAATCCCGATTCCACTGGAGGTCTGTTTTTCAGGGAGTGAATGACCCTGATGTCCTTGGTACAGGAGAGTGTGAGAACAAGATGGAGCCACTCACCAAGTCTGCTGCAATCTCCAGGGCTTCCTCGTGTCTCCCCAGGTGAGCCAGACACCGGGCCTGGCCTTCTTGGACATCCCTTTTCATGGCAACATTGGTAGACGGCAACTGTTCAGAGATCCCGGAGTATTCCCGCAGCGCTTTCTGACAATTATTAAAGGGAGGGGGGAAGGCATAAGGAGGATGGGGAAAGGATCCAGTGCAGAGATGACCATTGCCTACGCAGAAAGTAGTATAACTGACCTCTCCAATGACCTATGGGAGACCTAAGTGCTTCAAACAGTACTATTAATGTTTTTCTAAAGGGTAGAGACAGATGGCTGCAGGTCATAATGTCTACAACTATGGTAAATATCACAGCATTAGAGACAGAACATTCTAGACGCAAAAAGAATAGGCTTTGAGTCCTAGATTTACTGGGGCGTGTGTGTGTGTGTGTGTGTGTGTGTGTGTGTGTGTGTGTGTGTGTGTTGAGACATATATAACTCCAGCTGGCCTGGAATTTGCTATGTAGATTAATTAGGCTGGACTTGAACTCACAGGGATCCACCCGCCTCTGCCTCCACCTTGCAAGTGCTGATTGAAGGCATATGCCATGAGGCCCAGCTATTATACCTTATTAATATTTGCACAAAGATGAGAGGGGACATATATGTGAAGCAATCTGGCATCTGATTGTTCATCCTTCCCTTTTCTGGCATATTTTGGGGAATTTGTCCCTATGACATGCTGGAGAGTCACAGGTGAGTTGATATAGAGCCTAGGCAAACAGACCACAAGGACTCCCAAAATAGTCTTTGGTTGGAATTATGAAAAAACAGAACATAATATGGACCCTAAAGAAAAGACCAGGACTTAGGATTCTAAGATTATCTATAGGCATCACTGAAGACTAACTACATCTCCACAAAGCACACTCCTAACTTGGCACACACTGCTCTTTACATGGGCTATTTTGATAAAACAAGAGCCCACTTCAAGTACCCTAGTCTGTCACGGGCCGACTCCCACCTCGTATTCCTGTCGTCGGTAGGCCAAGTCCCCTCTGAATTTCTTGAGAGTGAGAACTTCAGTATCCTCAGTACTTTCCGTCTCTCCATAAAACCACTAGAAATCAAGAAGACAGCATTTATGAGGAAGAGTGAAGCCATGCTTTTCCACATCACCATCAAAAGCAGGTTCCCATAATACAACCATTTAACCGCCAAGGACACACTTCTTCAGGATGAGACTCAAGCGAAAACAGTGGACAAAAAAATGGCTACATTTTCGTTGTTTTTTGAAACAGGGTCTCATTATGCCCCCCAAGTGCTGAGATAACCGCACAGACCAAATGATACATATGTGTAGTACATGTATGTACAGGTGTGTGTAGGCCTGTGACTGTGGCTAGCCTGGCTACAGCAAGCCCCAGGGTGCTCCTGTCTCCACCTCCCAGTGCTGGTTGCCATGCCCAGTTTTTTATAAGGGTACGCGGATCCGCATGCTTGGTATTAAGCACTTACCCACTGAGCCACCAATGACAATCTCAATGGTGGCCTGATTTTTAAAAATCATTTTTTCAATAGATTATATGTGTGAGGTCACATCCAAGCCACTGTGAACATGTGGAAGTCCGAGCACGCTCTGCTGGAGTCCGTTCTCTCCTTCTACTGTGTAGGTTCTGGTGACAGAGCTCAGGTCATCAAGACCTGGCTGCAGGTGACTTCATCTGCTGCGTCATCTCACTAACAGCCCAGGTTTTTGTTAAAATGATCACAAATACAGAGTCAGTGAGAAGACTCTGTGGGTAAAAGCACTTGTCACCAAGTCCGAGATCACGGACCCCTGTGGTAGAAGGAACAACCAATACCTGCAGTTTGTCCGGACTGCCACAGTGCGATGGCGCTCGCTCGCGCTCTCTCTCGCTCTCTCTCTCTCTCTCTCTCTCACACACACACACACACACACACACACACACACACACACAAATAAATGAATGTGGTTAAAAATAAATTCTTTAATGACCACTAGTATAAACATGTCAATAACATGTTTGTAAAAAAAAAAAAAAAAAAGCAAAAACAAGAAAAAAAAACCCACGTATTTTCAACCGCATCCTGTACGGTACCAAGGACTCTTTAAAGCAGTATCTGTTTTCTTTTAGAGCAATGGAGTGAAAGGGATTGACAATCCTACGCACAAGACACAGGAGGCTGTGATTACCACGCAACGGTGCTATTGTGAAAATGTCACACAGGCACACAGAACCGAGCAAAGGAAATTACAACTGAAAGGAGGTTCTGGGTATCTCTAAGAACACTTCCCTCTTCTGATTTAAACCCCCTGGATACAAAGTGAGATTGAGATTTAACTCCCGACAAAAAGACACAAAAAAGGATGAAAAGCATTTTGTATGGCCAAAGAAGCATCTACTCCCTTTTACAATAAAACCTGCTGAGGCCAAAGAAAGTCTGTCTCTAAATTCTAAGTTGACTCGAATGTAGTTAGCACATTCTGATGGCTTGGCTGTATTTCTAAAATACTTCCCTCTGTATCACCGCTCATCACAAGCTTGCTAAATTAGTTTCTCTCCTCCTGAGCCACCACGGTAGGGAAAACTTCCTTCTATTCTTCAAACACTATGTCACTCAAGACTAGATATTTGAGCCACGGTTAGCTTCGGCCCTCTGCTGCTATCTAGTCACACTTTTTTAACTAGCCATTCCCCACTTCTTAACAATAATATATAAACCTCCACCCCATTTTCATTATCCTATTAGAAAACGATGAAACTAAATTGGCTTGAAACTATTTTATTCTCCCAGACTGTCAGGGGGGTCCTGCAAGAATGCGCTGCTGACCATCCGGGCCGAGCTGGGGGCAGGAAGGTGTGGTGTGACGCTGGCCCGGGCCGGCCTGCGGGACCTGTGGGAGGGTGGGGACAGACAACAGGAGGCTGGAAGAGGGAGGCGGCCGTGCTCACAAGCCCCGACTCCAGGGCTGCGGGACAGGGGCGGGGGCTGGCCTCGCCGCAGGCCGGCTCCGGTGCGGAGCGGCAGGAGCCAGCAGCCGTCTCACCTGTGGCTCGCACAGCTTGGCGCCGTAGGGCGCGGGCGGCTCGGGCCGCCGCTCCGGCCTCTGCTCGAACACTGAGTCCTCAAATTCGCCGCCGAGCACCCAGCACCCGGCCTCCATCGCGCGCGAGGACCCAAACCGAGCTAACACTTGCAGCGGCTCCCAGCCCCCAGCATCCGAGACGCGCGGCTGCAGCCAGCCACCGAGACGAGGTAGTGCCTAGAGCGGCGCCGGCGCGCAGCCCACCCGGAAGCGGTGGGCTGTCGGCCGGAGCGTAGCATTCTGGGAGTGGTAGTCTTTCAGCGGCCGCGCATGTAGGGGCTATTACCCAAGTTGGGGGTCGTGGTGGAGCAGAAATTATTACCTGACTCTCGGGCTTCTTAAACCTCACCACAAAGAGTTTGACTTCTCCGTGTCAGGAGCTGAATAGAGTACTCTTTCCCTGCCTACCTCGAAAAATCGGGGTCCGTGGGGAGCCGGCTAACTTAGGTACCGGTTTTAAACACGGGCAGCGTTCTCATTGTGTTACCCCTCCCCCACTTTATTTTGCATTTCCCGTCTTCTCCCAATAGCAACTGTGAGAAAGGCAGTAAGTAATTCCTGTTTTGTAAACGAAAATATTGGGCTTGAAGAGGTCAGGTAAACTAGCTGAAAAAGCCCCGCGTCTCTAGAGAAGAGACCAGAACTACTCAGAAATTTATCTGACTAGCAGAACTCTAAGACTTTCCAGAAGTGTCTTGACTCTGGAAAGGAATGCAGAGCTAATAATAAAGCTTTTTTGTTTTTCCTCTCACTTGCTCCCCTTCCACCGTTTGTCTTTTCAGGGTTCTTTCTTCAGCTCTATTTTCTACTCTCCAGACTCTATGGGCAACTTAAGCCACCTCCCATCTGCTCATGACTCACAAAATGTGGAACAGACTCATCTGAAGACTCCACTTAGGCCAGGCGGTAACTACTGATGGATTCTTCCCGGGGAAATCCATGTTTAATAGTGAGGTTGTTTTGTTTTCCCATCAGAAATGCAATACTCCATATTAAGAAAAATTTGGATATTATAGAAAAATATAAGAAAACAATACATAATACCATCACCAAGAAAAAAAATGAGGTCCTAAAAAGGAAGAGATATTTGCCCTAATTCTGGTATGTCGTCTTAGAAGCACAGTACTGGATAACTGCAAGAGCCACGCGTGTCTGGCTTCAAGATCCCTGCTTTACTAGCTGTTCAAGCCAGTGTGTGAAATGGGTATTGACTAAAGTAAGGCTTATAAAGCTTGTGAGATGGCCAGAGGGTGACATGGGTTCATTTAAAATCCCTGCCCCAGGAGCAGCATAAGAGCAGAGCAAAGGCAGGCGTCGGGGATTTCTTCTAGCCTTTTCTTTATGAAAGTTATTTGGTTCTGGAATGTCTTCCCCCCCTGCTTTGAAGCCAGCTGGCTCTAGACTCCTGCCCAACAACTAACTGAGCTAGAGCTTGTGCTGAGAAGGCAGCCAGTTGCTTTAGGTCTGCATGTGGGTAAGTGATGGTTCACTGCTCTTAGGGCTCAAGATTCCTGGGCTTAGTAGTTTCCAACCTTTTGCCACTAAGAACCTCCTTGATTACTTTACTCCTGCCACCATGGCAGATTTGTGTACCAAATAAAGCTGTATTTATTGACTAATGATTGCTTCTCTTTCCTCTGAAAAGCTGAACCCAAATCCTATATAACAGCCAATCCAAGCTTCTACCCAGTTTGAGTCCACCAGCATTGCCTCGTTCAGTGATAGGATTCGAGCTGAAAGTGAGAATGTAGCTGTTAGGACACTGGGAAGCCTGATGGACAGCAAACTAGTTAGAATTAGGACTTTGCCAATACTACAGTTTGAATTCCCCATTGCAGTTGAGGAGCCAAGGTCTGGAGGCATTTGATAAGCCCAAGACAGTAAGCCAATAAAACAAGAGGGCATTGGACACTGTAACAGTTAAATCTATGTATACTTAGAAAATGCAGGTGTTTGGTGGTGGAGCAGTGTTCTCAACCCTCCTAACGCTGCGACCCTTTAATACAGTTGACCCTTTAATACAGTTGACCCTTTAATACAGTTGCTCATGTTGCGGTGACTCCCAACCATAAAATTATTTTCATTGATACTTCAGAACTGTAATTTTGCTGTTATGAATCGTAATGTAAATACTTTTGGAGATACTTGTTTGTCAACGGTGTCATGAGCCACAGGTTGAATCACTATGTTAGAGAGTAAATGGGATTTCTACAACTATCAAACTGAGTGGTTATGATTTTTAAAAACCTGTTTCTACAGCTTAATAGCTATGAAAGTCGTATTTTTGATTGAGGTGCCTGTTTGAGTTGCCCATCACAAGGCAGCTGCCACCTTTTCAGGCAACACTCTGCTCACTTATTTCCCTCACTGTGGCATTCCACAAACCGTAGACAGTGGGAAGGTTAGACGCTGTCTTTTTCACTCTTGTAAACTCCGCTCCCAGACAGGCCTTGGCCAAAGCAGCTCTTAATCAATGCCTGCTGAATGGAGGGGTGATGTAAAGGAGGGGCACCGAGGAAGGCAGGAGAGGTACCTCTCAGCTGTGGCCACATGTTGGTGTCCTGCCTGTGATCTGGAGAGGAGAGCCAATGTTTCCCTGCGGAAGCGTCTCCCCAGCCTAGACCGTGAGCCTACCCTCGTTGCACCCCGATCTCAAGGGAGCCCTGCTCCCCAGCTGCTGTTCTCAACAGGCCTGCCACAGTCGGCCCTCAGTCTGCCCCTCCTCTTGCAACCCTCTTGTCCTAACCAGGTAACAACTCACCACTCCTTTTGATCAGGAGGCCACCCCAACCCCAGTGCCCTTTATCTATGTGACCGATTCCCAGAATCCTTTCCTGACCTCCCCTCCCCTCAGCCTGGCTCCCATTGCCCCAGTCTAGGTTCACACACCATGTCCAAGGGCACTTGGCATTTCCAAAGTTTGGGGTTGAGGCTTTTTTTGTTTTTTAATCTAATGTTCATTTGTCAGTCACCCACAGTAGACCATGAGCTCATTTAGGCCTTGACTAGGTCACTCACCTCTATGTGAGCAGTGTCTGGCACCCAGTCATCCCTGACTCCTGTTGAGGGGATCAATCCAAACTACACTTGCCACAGCGTATTCATGTATGGACTCTCTGCATCATTCCATGTGTCTGGGGGCCTATGTGTGTAGCTCTGTGCTCATGTAGAGACCATACTAACATGGGAGGACAGATGATAAACATGGACACAAGCAGGTTATTTAGTTACATAATTTGATATTGTGCTGGGATCGAGGTTTGGATGTGAAGTGTGTCTCACAGCTCACACTTTAAATATTTCATCCCCAGCTTGTGTGAAAGGCTGCCTGTAGAAGTGGGGCCTGATGGGAAATAGGTCACTGGGGGCAGGCCCCTGAAGGTTCTATCTGCTTTTCGTTCCTGGCAAGGCCTCCTGTGTGGTGATATTTTATTTGTGCAACCCAATAAAGTTTATCTGAGGATCAAAGGAAAAAGCCAGCCACTATATTAAACACAGAAGTCGGGCAATGGTAGCACACGCCTTTAATCCTATCATTCAGAAGGCAGGGATCTGTCTGGAGCTCTGTGAATTCAAAGCCACACTGGGAACAGAGCCAGGCATGGTGGCACATGCCTTAAATTCCAACACTAACCATAGAGGTCTGGAGGTCTGTACAGACAGACAGGAAGTGACAGAGCTGAGCAGAAAGAGGAAGTGATGTAGCTGGACGGAGAGAGCAAATCAGATGGCAGAACAGAAAGGCATACAGGCGTGGGTATATAAGAAGTAGGTCTCTCTCTCTGAGCCGGGCAGTGGTGGGGAGGGGGCCAGAGCCAGGTGGATCTCTGTGAGTTCGAGCCTAGCCTGGTCTACAGAGCAAGATGCAGGACAGGCACCAAAACTATGCAGAGAAACTCTGTCTCGAAAAAAAAAAGTAGGCCTCTTTGGAGCCTGAGGTGTCGGTGAAGCGAAGTTAACTTGTGGCTTTTCCTAGTTCTCTGATCTCTCAGGTTTTCACCCCTATATCTGGCTCTGGGTTTTTATTTAATAAGATCATTTAGCAATTTGTCCACACTCCTGGTCTGTCAAGATGTGCAAAGCTTCCCCACACACTGCAGCCCTCAACTCAGACACTTGTGCTAAAATGCTGCCCTTGCCATACCAAACTGAAACCCCTCTGAGACCGTGAGCCCGAACAACCCATTCCTCCCTTGTTCCTGTCACCGTGAGCAGAGTGACTGAAGCAGAGCCTTTCTGGACTTACCGTAGAAAGGGGCCTTCCATGATAGACCTATCTCTTTGCCTTTCTGACCCAAGAAGTTTTCCTTTGAGCTACCCCTTTGGCTCTATGAAGATGGTAAATATTTCTTTTTCCACTTTTCCATTTTTTTCTTTAATTTTTTTAAAATTACATTTATCTATTTATTTGGGTGGGGGCAAATGCCACAGTGCCCATGTAGTAGTCAGAAGACAGCTTACATGAGTTAGTTCCTCCCTCTGCCATGTGGCTCCCAGGAGTCAAACTCAGGTCATCAGGTTTGGAGGCCAATGCCTTAATCCAATGAGCCATCTTGCTGATCTTTCTGTTTGTTTCTTTTCCTAAAAACTGTTCCTTCTATTTCTGACATGAATGCTATCCCACTAATTCTCATGAATAATCTACCAACACACATTTCTCATATTCTGAAGAATTTGTATAGTAGTACACTCATTGATTCAACTAAAATCTGCGTTTATATACTGTAAGAAAAGTACTGTTTTCAGAATGGAACGTACAGTGGTAAATAAGACAGATAAGATCCATACACTCAGGGCTGGAGAGATGGCTCATCCCTGAAGAGCACTTGCTGTCCTTGGAGGGGACCAGAGTTCCCTTCCCAGCGCCCACACCAGGCAGCTCACAGCTGCCTGTTAACTCCAGCTCCAGGGTATCTGATGCCCTCTTCTGGTACCTCCATGGTGTACCTCCATAGGTACCTGCACAGAGGTATGCATATTGACAAATTTTTTATACATATAATATATATTGCTCATATATACATATATTTACATATTATTCATATATTGTGAATATATCCATTATATATATATATATATATATATATATATATATATATATATATATATATATATAAAGATTCTTGCTCTAGTGTAAGTTCTATTTTAGGAGGAGACAAATAATAATTCGTCT